TGATTATAAATTGGTTTTATAGTAGTACTGAGTACATTGGATATATTTTTTCCATTCCTGAGATGCTTTACTAAGAATATTTCCCAGTTCCATCCATGTAAACATAAAAGAGGTAAAGTCTCCACCTTTTTTAAGGCTGCATAGTATTCCATGGTATACATATACCACAATTTATTAATCCATTCATGGGTTGATGGGCACTTGGGCTTTTTCTAAGACTTGGCAATTAGCTGCAGTGAATTGAGCTATAGTGAACAATCTGGTGCATATATCTTTGTTGCCAAGTGATTTTTGGTCTTTTGGATATATACCTAGTAGGGGAATTGCAGGATCAAACAGTAGGTCTACATTTAGATTCCTGAGTGTTTGTTCTCCAAACTTCTTTCCAAGAGGAATGTACTAGCTTACATTCCCACCAGCAGTGTAAAATTGTTCCCTTTTCTCCACATCCATGCCAACATCTGTAGTTTTGGGATTTTGTTATGTGGGCTACTCTTACTGGAGTTAGATAATATCTCAAAGTGGTTTGGTTTGCATTTCTCTGATGATTAATGATGATGAGCATTTTTTCATGTGTCTGTGGACTGTGCACCTGTCTTGATCAGAGAAGCTTCTGTTCATGTCTCTTGCCCACAATGAAATGGGATCACTTGTTCTTTTCTTATTAATAAGTTTTGAGTTCTCTGTGGATTCTGGTTATTAGACCTTTGTCAGAAATATAACCTGCAAAAATCCTCTCCCATTCTGAGGGCAGTCTGCTTGCTTTACTTACCATGTTCTTGGTAGTCCAGAAGCTTTTTAGTTTGATCAGATCCCAGTAATGTTTGATCTGTGTGTTGGCATATTGATGAGCCACATTCATTGGGATGAGGGAGAGGTTTAAGTGACCCCTTGGTTTTAAAGGTAAGTATGTAAATTACTTTTCAGTCAGTGAGATTTGGCTTTTTATAGATATTGGCTACAACTCACAGTTTAAAAAGCTTGGTTATTACTCAGTTTTTAACAATTGCATTTGAAAAGGCAAAGTATTTAAATAAATTCTTAGGAAATCATTTGCATTGATTATTTTGACCTCCTATATATACTGAAAATCTCAAGTGATAATAGAATTATTTGGTTTTCTATGTGGTCACAGCCAAAAATTTCAGTATAATCTCGTATTTTAGACCTGATTTGTCCTAATTTCTAAATAGGCAGATAATGAGATTATTCCCTAACTAACTAAACAGTGCTGTGGCTTATTTTTTTAGCTTTGTTTAATGTATGTCATTATGAAAACAAAAGGATTTTTCTAAATTCCTTGAGAGGGACAACCATAAAACTTTAATGGAAGAAATAGAATGAAACCCCATTCATGAAAGAGAGTAATTACCATTTTTCTGTAATTGTCATTAATCTCAAGAGATTTCATTAGTCTATAAAATAGGCTTTCCATATGTTTCTTTTCAACATTTTACATCATTGGCTAAAACATGTTGAGCCCTTTTTTTATTGTAAATGATGACGAATTTGTGAATGACTGCCTCTGATGCTTTTATTTTTTTGCACGGTTTTTGCCAGGGCTGGGTTTGAACCTACAATTCTGGCATTTGGGGCCGGCACCCCACTCCTTTGAGCCACAGGTGCCGCCCCTCTGATGCTTTCTCGGTTGTAGTTCCCCCTGCACCATGAGTAGGCACACTGGAAATGGTTGCTTTTCTTATATTTCATTGTCAACTCTTACTACTTTTCTGGCTTTACAAAAGGTGTCAGTTTTCAACTTTTGAGCAGTGTCAAGAGTGGTTGAAGAGACTGAACAATGCGATCCGACCACCTGCTAAAATAGAAGATCTCTTCTCATTTGCATACCACGCTTGGTGCATGGAGGTCTATGCGAGTGAAAAAGAGCAACATGGAGATCTATGCAGACCAGGTAGGCCTTTCTAACATGTGCACGTGGCTAAGTGCTTTGCCAGCCTACTTATTGGAGGTACCTTTAACATAAAACAGGATATCTAAGCATTCGTGTATTCAATCAATGTATATTTTGTGGCATACCTAAGCATACCTAAGCTTAACAGAACATGTTTTCTGCCTTCCAAAGGGAAGAGAAGAACACTGGATTGACATCACAGTCTACTGACCCTAAGAACAACTATTAAGGGCTTCATGGTTGTTACAGAAGCCTAACAGTAGCCATGAGTTTTGTGTATATGTTTGGGAAGACTTCACATTAGAAGTGGTTTTGAAGGTTGAATGGGAGTTTTTTGATTACAGAGTGAGGAAAAGAACATTAGAGAAAATATCTTGAACAAAGGCATGGAGATATGAGGATTAGCTGTAGAATAGTGGAATGCAAAGTGGTTTCACTGTCTTAGAATTTTTAAGTCATAGATTACCTGTTGTCACCTTCTTTATTGTATAGTATAGATGAAGAAACAGAGGTCCAGAGAGGTCAAGTTCCTTCCTTAAGGACAGATCGAGATGTTGAGCCTGTTTTGGAACCTAGACATCCTGACTTCTCATATCATCTTTGTCCCATTCACTGTCTTTGTTTTGACGAAGTTTGTGTTATTTCTCTGCATGTTGTTTTCTGAAACTTCATGCTGCCATAAATAGACTTTTGCTGGTCTCACACTGACTCAGTGTGTCAAGCTTTAAGGTTTGAATTTCTAAGCAGTGAAAAGTCATGAGCCTCCCTCAAGTAAAGTTTACTCTTGAGACTTTTTCCTTTATACTGGACATTATCATCCTGACTCTTCAATCTTATAAGTTTGCTCTGGATCATTTTAAACATCTGAGGCTAATCAAGCTATTTTGTTCCCTGGTCCATTGGTAATTGAAGCTTTGGTTCAGATTCTTGTTGTGTTCCATTCAGATGCTTATAACAAACATAAGCATTGTCTTTTCTTTCTTTCTTTCTTTCTTTTTTTTTAAAGAAGCTTTGATATATACTTTTGTTTGACCCTCGTGACCTCATCAAATGGGCAGGATAGCTTGGTGTCTCTGTTTTGGGAGCCAAAGAAATGGAGACTCACACGTAAAGTTTGTTATCAAGACCCACTGACACAGCTAAGAGACTGAAACATGTGGGAGCAGTAGATACAGAGCTTGAAAAACAGAGGCTCCTGCCCTTCTGACCTCAGGGGAAACCTCCGAAATCAAACTTCTCACAACCCTGTCCAGGCCAGCAGAGTCCCAAGACAGCCATAAGAGACCAAACAAATCTTGAGAGTTTATGAGAATATGCTTAAATTGTCTCTTACTTCACACTCTTAACCATTGCATCCCTCTTTTTTTGTCTTTATTGAGATGCCATCACATTTTAAATTTGTTTTGGTTTGTTTATGACTCTTTTCAAGTTTGGGCTTTTGTCGTTTTAAGAAAAAGAGGTCTTGCCCTGTTAGTCAGCCTGGGGTGCAGTGATATGATCATAGCTCAATGCAGCACCAAATTCCTGGGTTTGTACAGTCCTCCTGCCTTACCTTCATGAGTAACTACGGGTGCCGGCCACCATGCCTGGCTAATTTTAAAATATTTTTATAGAAAAGAGTCTTACTGTATCACTCAAGCTGGTCTTGAACTCCTGACCTCAAGTGATCCTGCTGGCCTGGGTCTCCCAAAACCCTGGGATTATAGATGTGAGGCAAACACCCAGCTATTTTTTTTAAAGACAAAATTTACAGACAATGAAGTGTGCAAATCTTACATGTACATTTGCTAGTTTTTTAACCATTGCATCTTATTTTAGTCTCTACCATCTCTGAGGGTAATGAACTTGATGAGTGCATTGTGCTGTATTATGTTGTATAAGAACTTTGAGACCCCTAATTCCAGGATGCATTTCCTAATTTTGGGTTGCCAGCATTTAGTCAGCAAGGCTTGCTTTTTCCTATCCTATTCTCTTACAACCACAGACTGAAAAATTCTCATCTTTTTAAGAGGAATTTTCTATTTCCTTGATAATTTTAGTTGTTTCTTTTGGATTTCAGCCAAAAAATAAAATGGCTATTCCTAAGAGGTACCAATTCAGAACCTAAACTCTTATGTTTAATTATGGGTGGCTTCATCCTGAGGTAGAATAACTTTAGTCCTCAGGCCCTTCCTTTCCTCTTTCCTGATTATATCTGGTATTTTTTGGTCACCAGGACATAGAGATATTCACAGTGTCCTGTCTTTTTTTTGTAATGCACGGGGTGTGTTGGGGGAAAGTGTAAAGTACTGATCTAGGAATAAGAAAACCTGAATTCATACCTGTACTCAGTTATTTAAGTGGAGGAAGAGGGAAACACAGGGCAAGCCATTTTTCCTTTCTGTACTTCAGTTTCCTTTGTACTTCAAACTGGAACATTCATCTTCTTCCCACCCAAACTGACCTGGGTATTTGAAGATCATCTCTCTGTTAATGCACAGTTCATTCAGTAAATATTTGAGTACTGCTTCTGTGCCATGCTTGTGAAAACAGTTTGGAAATTATGAAACTCAAGGTAATGCTATCATAACTGATTTGTTAGAAATACTTTGAGTAAGGATTGCATTTTATTTCTCCCCAGTGTACATATCCATACTGAAGTTAACCTGCCACCACTCATGGAATCTTACGGTATTTCAGTGACTTGGTTGAGCATATATTAGATACAGTTTTTTCCTTTTCTGTATTTTCATTGTGGAGTACAGAAGAAAAGCTTGCTTTTAATTAAAAAATAAGGCTCGGCGCCTGTGGCTCAAGCGGCTAAGGCGCCAGCCACATAGACCTAAGGTGGCGTGTTCGAATCCCCAGCCCGGGCCCGCCAAACAACAATGATGGCTGCAACCAAAAAATGGCCAGGCGTTGTGGTGGGCGCCTGTAGTCCCAGCTACTTGGGAGGCTGAGGCAGGAGACTCGCTTGAGCCCAGGAGTTGGAGGTTGCTGTGAGTGTGATGCCATAGCACTCTACTGAGGGTGACAGAGTGAGACTCTGTCTCAAAACGAAAAACAAAACAAACTCCTTGTTCTCAAAGAATGTTATTTTGTCTCCACCCCAAATTGTTGGATGTTGGTGGTGGCTGTGGCATTCATTACTCACCAAATATGAGTGAGTATGCCAGACATCCACATTTTTACAAGTCATCTTTAGGGCGAGACAACACTTGATATTTCAAAGTCTTTTTATAATCTTCCCCAGTACATGAGATCACAAGGATAGACTTGTGAGGGATAGAAATCCTTTCTGCAGTTAAAATTCTTCTCTATCTAGCCTATTAAGTAGAATGCATCAGAGAAGAGAGAAATAGGGCAACTACATTATTGCCTTGGTATTCATATAAATCTTAGTTTCTAGCTGTTGAACCTGTCATAGCTAAGCTGGCCATACTGGCCACAGCACTATGTCTCAGTCACCTTTGGAAGAAGGACCAGCATTGCTGTTGGAACTCACCTGTGAAACCTGCAAAAGCCTATGCAAAACCCTTGACCCTGCTCTTAGCACCTTACACTCTAGGAATGGAGTAGACTTAACGCTAAAAGCTTTTCTTCCATGTCTTCAACTTCCTGCTCCTCATTGCTGCTGCCTTCTTGGTGATGGCTGTGTACTAAAGTCCTGTTAGGTTGGTCAATGCAGCTCTAGTTGGTAGTATCAAGCCTACTTCTGTGACCTCTCTTGTGAGAAACACTGAACAAACCTTGTTTACCCACAAATAGCTTATGACTCTGGGTCTTTTCACTGCTATGCAGCTGTGTACTTTCCTATCTTATGGGTTTCAGTAAAGCCCAGGAAGTGTGCATCTAGAGGACTTTTGAAATCTTTTTATATAGAAAAGAATAATTCCTTTTCCCATATTTGAAAATGTGGGAGGACCATTTCTCACCTTTCTGACTTTGGTATTGGTCTGCTACCTCACATGCGGGGTAAAAAGGCCTGCGCCTTCTATCCTAGGCTTTTAAGTTGTATGTAATTGTGGGCTTGAATACTCAGAATCAACTAGGGAGTTAGACTTTTTTGGAGGAAAATTTTTTAGACTACCAGTTGACACTGTGGGTATGATAGGGGTTCATTGCTTTAAAAAAAAAAGTTTTCATTTCCACTATTATGAGAATTGCTGGAATATACTTACAATGTTAAGAAATACTAGGAGTTGAAAAATGACAAATCCCCATTTGGGGATAAGGGAGGCAGACAAGAAATGGAAATATAATGCCAAACAAAAACCTTATGTACCCAATGTTTAAATACATTGGAACATTACAATGTATCTAATATTGAATCATTTGAGATGGAATGATGGAATGATCATCTCAGATGGAATTCTGAGATGGAAATAAGGAGAATCCAGCAATTGATATATTTGTATTCACTTTTCTGGCTACGTAAACATAAGTGAACATCTAATACAATTTTTTTCAAATTGCAGATTAATGTGAGAGTACAAATGATTCAGTTACATCGTTTGCATTTGTTAGGTAAAGTCCAAGTTACAGTTGTTCCCCTTCCCCAGAAGCTGTGCCATATACCCTTACATTGTGCCTGTTAGGTAAGAGCATACCAATCCCCTACCCTTCTCCCACTTGAGTTTGTGTTTTTCTCCTGCGTGGGTGTGTATTTGTTAGTCTGCTGGTTTCATATTAGTATTGAGTACATTGGATACTTACTTTTCCACTCTTGTCTAACACAGTTTTCAAAAGCTTATCGAACTACTCATGTATGTAAGATCTGCTCCTAGATGTTTTTCAAGTGGTGGCTTTCAAACAAGTTGTGATCCACTAGTGGGTCATGAAATCAAATTTTAGAGACCTGAAACAGAATAGAAAATTATTAAAATATGTCACATACGTAGTAAGAGTAGATATTGTTTTGTGAAACCTTTTTAAAAAATAAACATTGAGATGTAAAGCAGTTTTATTTTGGATTGTGGTTGTCATTTTCAAAGTTTACGAAGTCACTGCTTTAGAGGATACAAAGATAATTAAAACTCCTTGGTCTCAGGCTCACACCTGTAATCTTAGCACTCTAGGAGGCTGAGGCAGGTGGATTCCCTGAGCTTACCAGTTCAAGACCAGCCTAAGCAAGAGAAAGACCTTATCTCTAAAAATAGCTGGATGTGGTGGCAGGCACCTGTGGTCCGAGCTACTTGGGAGGCTGAGGAGAGAGGATCACTTGAGCTCAAGAGTTTGAGGTTGGGCTTGGCGCCTGTGGCTCAAGTGGCTAAGGCGCCAGCCACATACACCTAAGGTGGCAGGTTCGAATCCAGCCCGGGCCTGCCAAATAACAA